TTAATTTTCCTTCTCCTCACTTTGATCCAACAATTTAGTTTAACATGAGTCGACTTGTTTAGTCTATTTGTTCAAGTGGATGTTAAAGATCCTACGGCACTATTTGAAAAGAGAAGGGAGTTTAGCCCAGTGTCTGACTTGCAAATCCTGCAAATAAAAATTGGTCACTCATCCATGGCTCTTTGTGGGACACTGCTGTGCACTATACTAGCTGCATTTTCCCCACAAAACACATAGTCACTCCACTTTACACTAAATCCTGTGAAGTGCTTTGAGACATCTCGATGACCTGAGAAGACAAGGGAGAGTGTGTGAGGTGGAGGGATTTGGGAGAGATCCGAAGAGTGGAGCCTTCTTTTTGCCCCTCATCCCCTCAGCCATTGCGCCCCAGAACTTTGGAACTCTTCTTCAATTCCTCTGTCTTGGCCCCTCCTTCCCCATTTTCAGATTGTGCCTAAAGACCTTTCTCTTAAATCATAATTTGGGTCATCTTCTCCGTCCCCCTGGCTCAGCATCACGCTCCGCCACTGTTAAGGTCGCCAAGACGCTACCTTGCATGAAGAGTGTTATATAAATGCTAATTATTGTAGTTGTTGACTGAATGTTGACCTAAAAACAGTCACTACACTTGGACAGTGATTACACTTCAGTTTCAAGTGATAAAGCTTTCATAAAAAAACAATTTCTTCTTATATTTAACTTTGGTCTTGCAAATGATTTAAACAAATTTGTAGAACAACACTTCCCAGTTTATTAATTAATGTGTAACACCAGTGATATTTTATTTTATTCAGAACTCATACTGGCACATTTATATCCATTTGGCTGAGACTTGGGCTCTCAGAGACGGCAAATGGAATGTAAAGTCTGCACTGTCTGTGTTGATGTATTGATATTCATCTCAATAGCGCTGATATCATTACAATATTTATTAAGCGCTTAATAAATGCTGGCAGTTTTGTAATTGTTGGTCACTCTTACATCAGTGCTAATATTTGTTATAGTAAACATAAAATAAAGTCAGCGACTGGGGCAGAAGCATGCTGTGCCACATAGAATGCGATGCAGATTCAATTACCCCAGTGGTACTCTGTTACTGATCTAGGTTACATGGAGGTTGGAAGAATCAGACAGAATTATCTTGGTACCAGTTCCATATGCTTTTGTATAGTCAGAGCAGCACAGAAAGTAAGAAAGTAAGAAAGAGAAAGAAAGAAAGAAAGAAAGAAAGAAAGAAAGAAAGAAAGAAAGAAAGAAAGAAAGAAAGAAAGAAAGAAAGAAAGAAAGAAAGAAAGAAAGAAAGAAAGAAAGAAAGAAAGAAAGAAGTAGCCCGTCCACTACACGTTCAGCCACCCTCCCTGTTGAGTAGACAATAAGTCCATCTACCCACCCTATAGCGTAGGTCATTGGTTGATCTAGCCTATCTGTTGTGTACATTATCAGTCCATCCAGCTTACTCTTCCATCTATAGTGTAGAATTGTAGGCGATCAGTCCATCTAGCATGCACATAGTGTAGATCAGTGGTGGCCAACCTTGGCCAACAAAATACATTTTCTTTATTGAGTATTTCTTGATTATGCCATTATTCAAGAAATATTCAATCAAGAAAAAAATGAAAACACACTAACGGTCGAACACGGACTTGCCAACACTTGTGAAATGTTTGGGAGATCACTTGTTGACAGCCCCATGGGTCATTCTGGCTCACGGGCCATCGATCGATTTAGCCTGTCTGCAGTGTAGACTATCTAGCTTACTAATAGCTGTCCATCTACCCTTCCCATGGTGTAGGCCATCAATCTATCCAGCCCACCCATAGCAAGAGGATTTTGAGATAATAATAATCCTTCCATTTGATAAAGCTCCTTTCACATTAAGAGGATGTCTCAAAGAGCTTCACAGGATATTCTGTAAAGTCGAATGACTGTGTGTTTTGTGGGCAAATGCCTGAGCCAATTTGCGCATGGGTATCTATGGTGTAGATAAAAAGCTGCATTATGGTTTGCTCAGCTAAAACTACAGTTTCGACCAAGCACAGAAATTTTGAATGACCGCACTTTTATTTTTAACAAGCTCAGTGCTTTATACTTCTCAAATCTAGGATTAACAGAAAGTTTGTGCCAAGCTGCAAGTCTACCACAATCTTGAAATATTCATGTGCTGTTAATAATAATAGCTGCTTATCACGTCGTTGAGACATCTCAAAGTGCTTTACAGAATATATTGTAAAGTGAATTAACCGTGCATTTTGTGGGCCATTTTGTTTCCACCTAACAGGTAAGCATGGCAATGCTGCACCTTCAAATTGTGTGAAAAATGTCATTACAGCAAGCTATAAACAAAAACATAAATAATAAAACATATAAGGACTGAATTTGATAAACTGCACAGTTTAGCAATAAAGTGACTAAAGTTGTTTTCCTGCTAGTTTGAGGTGCTTTCAAGCATAATATTTCTTGTCAAGATATCCTGGGTGTTGGATCAATTTGTTCTCATAAAAGTTGTTGTACATTTATAGGCCTGAATAACAGATTTATATGACACAGCTAATGTATCGAAGTTAGCTGGTGCCTTTTGACTAAAGATTTTTAAGATTTCCTGGACCTCAAATGCCTACAAATCAAAACTTTCCTTTAAAAAAGTTAAACGTGGATTTGTGTTGAAACAGTCCCTGTTTTTGGCCTCGGAATCATTATTAAGGAATCTCTTCGGAATTGCTGCGCTTTAGATCCCATAATAGCAAATGCATTTTACATCAAATGTGCACACGTAGATCAATTGATTGTGGGATCAGATGCTTGAGACTGTCAGTGATCTGAAAGAGTTTATAACTGTGTCCTTCTCATACTGTGACATAAATAGGAATGGACTGAAGTCTCTGGGAACACTCACCAGGTCAGGCAGCATCTATGGAGAGAGGAAACTGAGTTAACCTTTCAGGTCGATGATCTTATGTCAGAACCTGACCTGCTGCCTGACCTGCTGAGTGTTCCCAGCCACTTCTGTTTGTGGTTCAGATTTCCAGCATCTGCAGTATTTTGTCTTTTGCCTTTAGCCTGCCTTACTTCAGCTCGTTTTTGGCAACCATTCCCTTTTAAAAAAAAATTCTCTTGCAGGTAGGTTTATGGGGGGATTTTGTTTGTTATTTATGGAGATTGGTACATCTGGACTCTTATATTTTATTCAATAGATTTCAGTCATGTATCTTGCCTATTTTCGTTTGTCTACTGTCTGCATCACCATCTAGTGGCTAATTCTAGCAATCTACCCATGCAAATGAATTGATCTTTAACACTGACTGCAGTTGTCCAAGACTCTTTGATACAATGATATTAGACAAAAATCCATGAGGCAGATCTTGGCTCCTCCTTTCCAAACACGGGACAACCTAATCTTGGAATGAAATCTACTTCTAAATATTCATCTATTTCTTTTTAATTGTAGGGAAACTGAAAGCGAAGGAAAGAGTTTGTTTTATTAGCTTTTTGTAGTAATGTGACATTCTGAGGTCCTTACCCTTCTTATAGAAAGGCCTTATACAAATACTCACATCTTGTCTATCACCCAATGGCAATCCAGTCTAACCTGCAAGATCCATCTAATTCAACTTGTAATTGTAGCCTTGACAAAATAAGCAAACCCCCTAGCACAGGGGAACAGAAAGAGATCTCCTCTGTGAAGCCTGGTAGTGTTCTTCATAAAGAATCCTATTACAATTTCCATTCACCTGCAGGAACTATTCTCAGAGTAGAATTAATGAGTTAATGTGACTTACTTGGAAGGAGTCTCACTTTGCACGACTCAGATTCCTTACTAAGGTATCCAGTTAAGGGAAACCGCAAATTAGGTCCACAGTTTACAAACATTCTTACTGTTCTGGGCAGCTGTTCAGTTATCTCAAGAGCAGGAAAACAGCTCGATATGTAGAAATGTAGATACAAAGTGAGCATGCATGTTGCCCACTCACAGACACAAACAAAAATAAATGTCAGGTGCGTGGAAATGCACATTATCCACAAAAACAGGTGGTGTGAGTGGGCAGTTTCAGTAGCTGTCACTGGGATAAATTCTGATGTTCATTTGCTGTGGCTGTGATAACTGTAGCAGCAGAGGGTGTTCTTTCTCTTTTTATTAAACTCTTTTTTGCAATAAACATTATTGTAAAAGAATAAATTGATACGAGCAGATTTCATTACATCATAATACTCTCCGGTATTTATAGCACTTGCAAGACACTTTACTTTCATGACCTGCCCCTTTAAGGAGTGAAGTGAGTAATTGCAATGGCAAATGGTGATGGTAGATATAATTCAGAACAGGCGAGTGATCCCCGCCTTTCGGCTCTTATAATTTAGTACTGTCTAATAGCCCACTTAGTGTGGGAAATGGATGTTGAATTCAGATGCTGATTCTGCCAAATATCCAACACTGAATGTTCCAAACTAACACATTAACACTGGGAGTTTTGAACAGACCAGAACTCACTCTACATCTTGGCTTGAGACGCAAATCCATTGGGAGTATTGGCTAGTGAGATCCAGCCTCTAATCTGGTGTGCCTCAAAAATAATCTCTGCCTATCGCCTTATCACAGCGTTTAAAATGACACTCCAATGCAGTTCTGGGGGGGAGTTGCGTTGTCAGAGATGCTGTCTCTCGGATGAGATGTTAAACTGAGATCCCGTCTGTCTGTTCAGGTAGATGTTAAAGATCTCATGGCACTATTGGAAAAGAGAAGGGAGTTTCTCCCGGTGTCCTGACCAACAATCCCCCAAATAAACTTGGTCACTCACTTCACGGCTGTTGGTGGGACATTGTTACGTGCAAGAGGCTGCCGCGTTTCGCCCGCAAAATACAGTCAATCTACTTTACAATATATTCTCTCAAGCGCTTTGAGATGTCTCAACGACGTGATAAGGCACTATATCAAGAGCAAGGATTATTATTATAAACAGACTATGGAACTGGTCACTGAAGACAGAAACTAAAGACACATTTTTGCTTATTCACTGTTCACATTTTGGTTTATTCACTGTTGATGCAAGCTGGTGGTGGAAACAATATAGCAATGCCAGGGGTCGAGGAAGTGGAGGTGACTTTGTTTACTCTTCCTTTTCTTCACCGTGTGTGATGATGTAGCAGAGAGATTTGTAGTCCAGATTACCAGCTGAATCTATCGGGGAGGATTGGTACATCTGGTCAACCTGCAGAACATGGAATAAAGGAAGTGGGGGAGGCATTACAATATAGACTATCTCCCGGGAGAAAGCTCCACACAGAAACTTCCTAAACTCTAAAGTCTACAAAGCAAAGCTACACGATATTCTTCAACATCACTTTGCTTCTATTCAAACCTAATCCTTCTGCTCAGGTCCCCCCCAGGTCCCAGCAGCCAATAATATTTGTGGAGAAATTCCTCCTGAGTATTTACTGAAATACGCAGTACAGTTCAGTACAGTTTACAGCAGTTTACAGCATATCCTGTGAAGTACTTTGAGACGTCTCAATGATATAATCACATGAAATTATTATTATTGTTCTATTTTCTTTGCCCTTCAGAGCATGCAGACATTGATAAAGTGTTGCATTCAGGCTTATTATTGAAACTGTTTTCCCCTAGTTCTTAAAAGAACTTACAAAAACATTGGCATCAAAATGAAGGCCGTAGGTAAGAATTTTTCTCAACTTCTGAATATTCTGAAACGCTAAGTCAGTCTAGATCCAGATGGAATTTCTACCACATTTCTAGAACATTTATGCTTTTATACTTAAGCCAATGCAAAATCCCAACATAAATGCTTCTAGATACAAAACTTCCAGTGTAGGTGCGTATTGATGTGTCCTGCAGTTGAATGGAACTGCTTATCAGCAGATGAGCTGTGCTGCCACAGCCTTTGCTAACAGATGCATAGTGCACAATAGAAAGGGGCACGGAGAGCAAATTGCTCTTGGTTGGTGACCTACAGAGATAAACGTGTATTTTCAAAAAAAAAATGAAGGAATCGGGGTGCGTACAAACCTCTTCTGCAGTAAACCTGTCGGCTTGTGTCATTAGCGAGCGTTTTAACCTATAGATAAAATGGGAAGGTGACATTCAAAAACTGAGCATTGCAAACAACAAGAACAAATTATATTGATATAGAGCTTTTCGCATAGAGGACGAGCAAAGGTGCTGGACAATGGGGGGTTTGTACTCGAGCTGAGGTTTGGTATCAGAGAGGGGTGGAGGGCAAGCAGGGTGGAGGAGGAAGGATGACTGAAGGCACAGTCGAAAAGAAAGGTCTTGAGATGGACGTTGAAGGAGGCAAGGGAGGGGGTGAGGCGGAGGGGCAGAGGGTGGGGGCAGAAAGGCTGAAGGCCCGACCACCGATAGTGGAGTCAGCAGGGCAGGGAATGTGGAGCAGGCCAGTCCCTGGAAAGCGAAGGGAGCGGACAGGTTGTTCAATAGGTCACTGAGGTAGGGAGGAGCAAGACCATGGAGGGCTTAAAAGTTAAGGACAAGGATTTAGAAGAATAGCCAACACGGAGTGAAGTGAGAGGGGCACATACTCTTCTTTGTTGATGTTTCCTTTGGCTTCGGGGTCAAACATTTTGAATGCGTTTATCAGCACTTCTTCTGGATCGGAACCTGTATCAATAATAAGACGACCACAAGGTTAAAGGGATCCGGATCCAGGGATGGGAGAGGTTTAATCACTGTGAAGCAACAAACAGACGAACCATGTAGCTTCGCTCCAAATAGATTTAAAAACATGGTAAAGTTGATCGGTCCCGTAGCTTCTTGCAACATCGATTCCAGCTCGTCATCTTTTACGTTGAGTTTGCCTAAAAAAGAACAGAAATACTTTTGGTCGTTCTGGAAGTAGAGAAAGAGCGCAGAGCAAGACAATTCCTGTTTGCATCTCCATAATTTCAGAAATTACACTCAACTGAAATGGAAGAGAAAAGTGAAATAACATTTTTAAAAAAGGCTTAACTCAAGGGAGGATAGGCCGGTTTATCAGGATGGTGGAAATAAAGCAATGCTATTTTGGATACCAGTAGTACTGAACATCAAAATATTCACCCAAGAGCTTCATTGTTATGTGGACCCACTACCTCAGTAAATTCAGTGCCTCCTTTATATGTTTTGCACAAGTGGAGTCCTTTAGCGTCTTGGTTTGAGCACTCGCCTCCAAACCGAGATGACTCGATTTCGATTCCCGGGCAGTGCAAAACCATGGGTAAGTTTCCTTACTCCACACGCCTCTGTTTACCGAGCAGTAAGTAGGACCCCGGTTGTTAGCTGATTGGCGGATCGCTTTCCGGGGGTAGTAATCCCTTTGTTATAAAATTAAAATTATAAGTGTTGCTCCCGTCTACAGTATCTGTACACAGGAATTGGCATAAACATTGTTCTCAATTTACTTTACAGAAACTTTTAACTTATAGATACTCTGTGAAGCCCTTTGAGATATTCCTCATATTACAGTCGTCACACCAAATGCACACACAATTATTATTATTATTTATTGCTGATCTGAAGCAGCATTTACCCAGGGAGGCATAAGTATCTTTCAAATCCTCCTTGTCAATGAAACCATCTCTGTTCTGGTCAATCAATGTGAAAGCCTGAAGAGAAAGAAAATGGGAATAAAAACCCAACAGGTTTAGAAACACCCGCTGGATATGGAATAACACTTCACATTTAAGTCTCATAGTTATTCTGCTGTCTCTGATCAAACACTGCACTGCAAAACTGTCTGCTTCTTTATAATTTAGTTTGGTGGAAGATTCCTTCAATTCATATGGAATATATTAACAAATTATCGATATTTTTTAACCAACATAATAAAAAAGCAAATCTATTTAAACAGTAGGCTATATTTTACCAAGATAAAACCGTAAGAATTGTAACAACCAGTAACAATGAAGCAGTAACAATAACACATATTCAGATCGTTAAAAAGGTAAATTTACTATGTATGTCGACAGTTTCTGCAATTTATTGTCCGTATTTGAGGCGGTGTTGACAGCTCCACAAATAAGAAACTAACTACCCTGAACACCAAGAATGTCAGCTTGTTTGGTAACGAAATTGGGCAGCTGTTGAAAAAGAACTGCATTAAACTAAAAGGCGGTGTGCATCAGGATTTTTCAAACAGCAGAATTTTCTCTTCTCTATTTAATGATCTTCTTCCCTCTCAGGTTTTGACATTTGACATCATTCAGTCCTTTAATCACCATTTGCCCTCCTGCTCTTCATTTCACCTCCTCTCTTGTTTTCCTTTTTTTCTCTTGACACTCTCTCTCTCTGTCTTTCTGTCTTTCTCACTCATGGCTGTCTGTGGGACATTCACAGGATATATCCCACTTAACAATATATATATCCTGTGAAGCACTTTGAGAGGTCTCGACGACATGATAAGGCGCTATGTCAAATACAAAGATTATTATAATTATATTTACTTCCTGTCTGTCTCTCTCCCTCTCTCACACACATACATTTTAGATCACTCATCATCTAGAAACAGTTGCTTTACTTCTTTGAATTCCTGGATCTGAGTTTGCTCAAAGCTGGAGAACACATTGGACGAAGCTCTCTGGGCTCGCTTGGCGCCTCCCTCCTTCTTTTTGGTCTTTCTGCTGGCCTGGAGTGCAAATAAAATGAAGAAATCACAGAGTCAGAGATCAATCCATTCTGACCGACTGCAGCCAAAGCAACCTGACTTCCATCACTCTGAACTCACCATGCTTGCCTGTGCCCCTGTGTTGCTATGTGTCCCAGGGCTGTGGTTTATATAGCTGGGAAGGCTGTAGGATGGGGGGACAAAATGCCAGGCTGTAGTTTGAGTGGTGCCCAGTCACCCTGGGGAGAACGGTGCATCTCGCAAGCAGCTACCAGCTGGTCGAAAAGTACTCCTTACATGGAAACATTGAGCCAGACGGCAAATGGGTCTCCAGTGACCACCGTTTATATTTTGAAACCTTTTAAAGGATCAGCACATGATGCAAACCTGTTCTGATATTTCAGACTAAATTTAATTAATTCCACAGGGGATGACTTAACGCTCAAAGAAGTTAGCAAGTTAGAGTCGGACATCGTTTTGACAGGAACCTTGTCACTACAAACTGAACTTCATAGCCCACCTTTGGATCTAAATAAGTTAAACGTTAAACATTTTTTAGCTAATGTCCATCTGAAAAAGATAATAATCCTTGCACTTGATATAGCGCTTTATCATGTCATTGAGACGTCGCAAAGCACTTCACAGAATGTAAAGTGGATTGACTCTGTAATTTAATTTAAATGACAATCACTTAATACATTTTCAGTTAAAAGCTTACTTTTAAGGACAATGTCCAAATTGCCTTAAAAAAATCTGTTGAATTGTTGCGAAAACATTTGCACTATTGGGTATATGATGAAAATTTCAGTCAATGTGTATTTTGAATTTGTAACAAATAACCATTCCACTGTGGGAGACGTGGAACATTGTAGTGAAAATAGACAGTAAATAGTCTGGGTAAGCTGAAGCATTTGTTCGATGAAAATATTAAACAACATCATCTCACTCTCTGTAAATGACCAATATGATGAAACGCGTGTATAAATTTTGGGTGAAAAAAATACCTTCCCTTAGCTATCAACTCAAGGCTTACAGTTTCCCTGTCAGCTTTATGAACACCATCTTCCTTCAACCTGGACCTAAGAAGGACAACATGTGATGTGCCAGCCTCCTTGATGATCTAGAGGTCCCACAAATCCATTTCACAGCTCGGTCCTGGATGTCGAATATAAGCCAAAGGAATTGCTTCTGTTGCATGCCTAAGAGCTCCAAACTGTGATGGAGTACTGTTCAGATAAACATTTTGTAAAGCACGAGCGTTAGGATTTTGCTATCATTAAAAAGAAGTGAGAATGACCAGTTTGCTCTTCCAATCTATTCTTTCGAGGAGCACCCTTCTCCTCAAGTTGTGCAGAGCTATAATAACCCATTTGGGGATATCACCACCATGTACCATCAATGAGCTGGTATTCAAAATGGTGAGTGCAGTGCACAAGGTTCCTGGGCAAGTCCATAAAGATCACAATCTCATCTGCAAGCAGAAGCACTGCAATTCTCTTGTCACAGACACTCTATGTCCTTCTCTATATTACTCTATGCTATTTAAATTGAACAGGTTGAATGACAGTGGACAACCTTGCCTTACCTCTCTTTAAACAGAGAAAGGCTAGACCCTTAATGATTACATATGTTATTATATGTCAGCCTGATTTAGTTGGTAACACTCTTGCCTATGAATCAGAAGGTTGTGGCGTCAAGTCACACATTGGGACTTAATAATAATAATAATTCTTTCGTTTTATATAAAGCCTTATCATGTCATTGAGAAATTTCAAAATGCTTAACAGAATAAATTGTAAAGTGGAATAACTGTGCATTTGGTGGGCTAAACACGCCAGCCAATTGTGCACAGCAGTGTCCTACATCAGTCTGAGTTGTGGATTGAATGACCAAATTGTAAAAAATTTTGGAGGGATTATTCCCAAAGAAAGTGATCCATCAATCGATTAACAACTGGATTCCTACTTAATGCTAAGTAAACAGATGTGTGGAGTAAGTAAACTTGCCTATGGTTTTGTCCTACCCAGGAATCGAATCCGGGGCCTCTTGTTTGCAAGAGATTACAGGCAACCAATATTTTCTTCTTTGTTGCAACAGGCAATAAAAAATAACCGAGAACATAACATGTCCAAAGCTTTGCAACAGAAGCAAATCTCAAGCTTTATAGTGTCATCAAAATCCCAAAATTGTATTACAGCCCACGAGATACTCTTAATCTTTGTTTACTTTCTGTTAATGAGTTTACCTGTTAAGACTTTGAACATCCAAGATTTTTGAACTTTCCATTTACCACAACTTGTTTCCCTGCCACTGCACTCGTTTGTTGTGACATTTCTTTTATCCAAAACTTTAATTCTGCTGTCTGTCACTCAAGAGAATGTGGATGTCCAAGATTCAGCTAAGAATGAATGATTGATGGTGCACTTTCGACTGCTGTGATTCCACCTGAGTACTTAACCCCCTCACAATGAATTCCGTTCATGGGCAGTGCATCCTGAAGTGAATTCGAGATACCCTCAGTGCTTGCAATGGAAGCAGAGGATTTCTCTCCTGAATGCAATTTGGTGCCCTGGCCTGTTCAGGCAGAAAGACCAGAATTGAATTAGACAAGCAACTGAGGCATCGCAAACACACACAAAAAGTAATCTTGATTCATCATTTTGTCATAAACCCTGTAATACATAAAAATATCCATCCTTCCAGCAACTGTTTGTTACTTTTGGGAGCACAGATTGGAAATTCCGAAGACTAAATCCTAATCTTCCTTATTCAAGTTGTCCTGTGTAAAGATAACACAACTTTGCAAAACTACTGCAAAATAACATATAGATAATATATTTAATATGATATGATTTCCAAAGTTCAGTAGTTCACCCTGGCTCATATATATTATATATACATACAAACATGCATAAAAAATATATACTGTATAAGAAACAGCTTTTTTAAAAAAAATCTGCCCCCAAATCTGTTTCCCTTAAGGCATCCGAGTTGAATTTGGGTCCTGAATCTCTATCGGTATTGCAGTTCTGTCGCATGTAAGAGAGTGGACATATGTCTGTGGAGAGGAGAGTCGAAAGTGTTTCATATTGGCACACATTCATCACCATGAGCAAATGGAATTGAAAAGGCAGTATTGAATGATTCAAAATGGATTTATAAATATTTAATCCTGCTGGTAACGAAACCTGTGTCATCCAGGTTCCTAATTAAGGCTGCAATTAAGAATTTTTCTATTCTGCAAGATTTTTTTTTAAATTATTAGTTTCACAGGCAGGAAGTGAAATTTCAGGCCTCTACCGTTTAACTAGAATACCTGAGTTTGAATCCAAATCTTGAATAACATTCCCTTCCTAGGGACGAGGCCAACTTTGAAAAGGCAAACTGGATAAGCTGTCTTAAATGGAAGAAGGCACTCTGATTTTTGAGCATACTTCTCTGTGAATCAATTTACAATCAGTATTATGTTCGCAGGGTATTATGAAACTTGAGATAGTCTTAAGCTGAATTGTCCTGATCTTCAAATCATTTTGTGGCACTCATGCTTCTGAGTCAGAAGATTGGGAGTTTAAGTCCCGCATCAGACTTTAAATTAAATTCAAATTCCTTGCATTTGATATACAGCCTTTGACATCAGAAGGATGTCTCAAAGTGTTTTACAGGATTTAATATAATGTGTAGTGACTGTGTATTTTGTTAAAGATACGATGGCACTAATCAAAAAGTGTTTCTTCTGCTGTTCTAGCCATCAACCACAGTGATAAAATGCATCACTTGCTACGTTGTTCTTTGTGGGACATTGCTGTGTAAAATATTTAAAGAATGACAGACTTAGTAAGCCATGCAGAAAAGTGTTTCACTGAGAAGCACTTTCAAAATCTGTATAACTTGGCGAAGCACAGAGAATGATGGGAGTGTCCAACTGCAAAAGCTAAAAGTAGATCCTGATGGGCTGATTACATCCCAGAGAGAATATCACTCAATGCAAAGGAGGAGTTCTATTTACACGGACAGCTGAGCCATCACCATTGATTCCCAGCAGGGCTGACTGAGCTTAATGATTATATTTGGCCCAAACTCTTGAGTTCAAAATCCCCCCTGCAAAATATATTTTTTTCTGAAATGCACTTATCTCTTGACAGATTCAGTCACTGCTGACAGTTTCAATGTTACTGTGTATTTTTTTAAATGATTTGTCCAACTCATTATGCAGCATCGCTATCTACAATGATTTAGTGCTGTAGTTAACTAATAGGTTGGCTTAAACATGTAATTCAGAGCTTGATGGTGAAATATATACCTGCTTTCTAACGTGTTCTATGTAATGAAAAGCACAGAGCTATCACAAAATATGCTTTAAAACATGAGGCAAACAACACTGATGAAATGCCCCAAGAGTTGCTTTAGTATTCATACTCCAAGTACACTGGTGGGTGGGAAACGAAAAACCATCCCTATTTTCTCAAGACCATCTAATAGCGAGTTAACAGTGCAGCACTGTTTCCTGCATTATTGAGGTTGTCTACAAGCTTTGCTGTCTTATCTCAATGAGGATATTGTGGATGCAAGAAGCCGATATGGGAAAGAAATAGGATTCAGTAAGAAATAGGTTCAGCAATTAAAACAGCATGGATTGGAGCAAGCAATGTGGTGCGGGCAAGGCAAAACTACCTGGTTTAGTCCCCACATTCTCTGCTGTTATGCTATTAATGTGCTCTTCTCCAATCACGCTTACTCAGTCCTTCCTTTGCCCATCTTCAACCATATTTCTCTTGATCTTAATTCCTTCAAAAAAAAATAATAAATTGGTCACCTCAATCCACAACTGTTTGTGGGACACTGCTGTGCGCAATTGGCTGCCGCATTTCACCCACAAAATAAAATATAGTCAATTCACTTTACAGTATATTCTGTGAAGTGCTTTGAGACATCTCGAAGACGTGATAAGGCGCTATATCAAATGCAAGGATTATTATTATTATTATCTTGGCACATGCCCTTCCATCACCGCATCATTATCCAAGTCACATTTGCCAAGAAAAATTTGAATCATAGAATAAGTACAGTACAGAACAAGCCCCCTTGGTTTCTTATATCTATGCTAGCGCTTGCTCTCTACAGGAGCAAACTTATTCCTCTGGTCTTTCCTCATTTCCTATAATAATTTTCTCAATGTCTTTTCCAATTCCCGTTTTAAATCCTGTTAT